ATCGCTATTGGATTTGTCCTAAGTTCAACCGAACGTTTTCTTCGTTCCGAAAGTATACTCGTAAATGTATTTATATTGTTTTTTCCACTCATAAGGAGTTATTTAGTTTCAAGGAGCCCGTTAAACTGTACAGGTTTAATACTGTTTCTTTAGTCTGTACAAATGTACCATGTATGTTGCAAGTAAAATATAAAAACGTGTTGAAAACTTACCCTTTTGTTTTTATTCTTGTACATAGATTATATCGTAGAAATAATAAATTATTGAATTAATAAAAACAAAAAAACTTGTCAATAAAGTTTGAGAACATAATATCATATTCCATACTTGTGATTTTCACCCAATAATATCGTCCAATGAGATAATAAAATCCGGTAGTTTTATACATACTCAAGGGCCAAGGCACCGATATTTCACACCGGATGGGATGATGTATTCTGTTTTTTTAAATTTAAATTTATTTTTAATCATTTTTGTTAAAAGTTAAACAATGTTAACGACTGTTTGTGTTCGTTCAACAATTTGAAAAACTACTTGGAATGTAATATGAATGGATTGTATGTTCATAGATARTTTTAAATGCTACTTCCATTTGAGTACTTAAAATAAATATCTGAATTTATTTATAGTAGCAATTATTTTCTAATAAATATTAAAACAGTTAATAATAACTGGGAGTAACTGTGGGATGGAAATAATTCATTTATTTGGAGTAATTATTTCATAATGAATGTTAAACAATTATTCAAGCAGCACTTTCCATTTAAATCAACAAAATCAATTTTATTTCATCATCTAATTACGCAGAAATGTTTTGAATTTAAATAAAATTGTGGTCTGCGACTAACACCAACAAATAAAACTCGGTAAACTAAGATTTAGACACAATAAATAGTAGATATGCAAAATAGACAAATACCTATAAATATATATATTTATCTATGGATAACAGTATCTTCGAAACTTCACTCAAACCGTGTGGATATAAATTGAGTGGATATAACACGGATATAACCAACGACAACATCCATTAACTTAATATTGAAACTATACATTATGTTTATTATCCCGTGCTGAGGAGTGGTGTCGCAACTTGCCATCACCTACACAATACGTGTCAAACGTCCTGTGCGAACTATTTCGGTATATTAAATAATATTGAAAAGTCTCGCTATATGTATACTTTATATATTATTGAACTGACATTATTATTTTATTCCATTACTTAGTACGGTTACATAGTTTGATATATCATAACCTATCGATATTCAACACATAATAGGTACCTAAAATACTATGAGAAGGTGCAAGCACTGAGAGGCCCATAATATATTACACCGATCGATGCGTTTTATGTATAATATGATAATACATCACAAATATTTACATATTATTTAAATGTTCTGTTTATATCGTATTAGTTGTACACTCGACACTCGAACCAAGAATACGTATACAATATCCGTTATAAATTTTATTTGTGTGTCTTAAGGGTAACCAGAAATACCTACGTCTTCAGCAGGCCCGGATTAAGATTTACAGTGCCCATAGGCTGTAAAAAATTTGGTGCCCCTATTTAAAAAAAAATATTGTACCTACACATTTCTCTACTCGATACTTGATGAAATAATAAAATATTATTATAGGTTTATTAGCCACAATATGTACATGTATATAATATGTGAAAACAAGTAAAAACATAAAATTAAAATTAAATAAAATATATTTTATATTTATAAAAAWATAAAATAATCATATTATAAAAAATAACGAACCATTAATTTATACTTTTATTTTTCTTATTATTGATTACATAGATAATAAATATTAATAATATTAATATTATCTATGATTGATTATTACGATTTCAAATTTCCGATATATTAAATAAAAATTTAAAATAACATCAGGATCGTATGCGGTGCCCGTGCCCCTAAATCCGTGGTTGTGTAGGCTGAGCCTATACTGCTTAMGCCTTAATCCAGGCCTGGTCCTAAGTATTGAACATTTTTTGTAGCGCAACAAAACGTTTTTATTTTTTCGCCTCAAATTACGAGAAAATATTCATTCTGTTGAATATTTACGCGTTGCACCACCACATAAACTAAATGGTACGGAGCGTTACACGCTATGAATTTGTCACAGACTTTTTTTCAATTCACTTTTTCTCGAAACATGACTTTGTATTCTAACTGTATTCAACAGCCACGATTTTTCTAGACTCAATTTAAAATTTAAAACTTTAAAAGAATTCAAATGTTTTAGATCAAAGAAATCGAATTATATTGAATTTCTTGAAAACTACGTCTAAATTTGTTTATAGTTCGAAAATATATAATTCGAGTAATCGAATAATTAATAATTCAAGATATAAAAATCTAATTTTCATTTTAAATTAAAAGAGTTAAAATTTGATTGAATAGGACAAAAAACCAGCGGGACATTATAATCATACATATATATTATACTCGTATGGGAACCATTATCCGAATGGCACAGAATATGCTCAATGGAAATTTTTTCAAACAAACAAGTCCAAATTCAGCCCTTTGGGTATAAAAAGCGATTCATATCTCGGAGGGTCGTACAAAATCTATACAAAAAAATTATAAACCTTATTGAATTAATATATTATTAGAATTTATAAATGTATTTTCGTAGCGTTTAAAAATTGATTATATAAAATTTTGTTAATTTTGGCATATATATWTTTTTTTTATTAAACGAAATATACCCTCGGCGACCTAGGCCATTRGGTTACAAAATTTTCTTTCATTGGGTTAATATAACATTATTGACAACTATTAGCGTATATTAAAATGAATTTAAAATTTAAAACCAAGAACGATTATGCCATAATATTATAGGTAGATAATATTATGTAATATTTTTTATTGATTCTTTCTAATTATTTTCCATTGATGTTTTATTTTAAAAATGTTTACAATAGTTAAATGTTCGGTTTTTATATAGGCTAGGATTGATGTGCTTTGTAAAATGTATATATACTGTTTCTAAATAAAAATACACATAACGAAATAGCTAACATATTGTAAAAATACCGGATGTATTGACGCAATAAAAAAAAAAAGCGGGTACCTAAGTAAGTGGATATCGCTCTGCAGTACAGTAGGTTACAAGTGGGTTATTGTAATGGATGGTATTAAATTTGAATTCAATGACGTRACATCATTGTATACGAAAAACGATTCTGAGTGAAGACGGTTTATCAGTCTAGGATATATTATATATTATTAATTATATTGTTATAATTTWAAAACAAAAACGTCTTCCATAATTATTTAATATTATAAAATCGTGAAATCGTGAAATCGTACGTTTTTTCTCCTTAAACCGCTTTTATTTCGAGTAACGTTTCGAAAATCGAAAAATGACCTGTTTAAAGTACCAGATCAAGAACATTACCTTTCAGATAAGATGCTACACTTGATACTTTTAAGCAAGTTTAGAAGGAGAAAAAGTGTTTACAGAATAAAAAAGAAATAAACATAATTGTAAAACCAATACATTCCTTGCTGTGCTCAGAATCTAAAATAGCTAACGTTGATGTRAACGCTTCATATAAGCACTATAACTACTATTAACTAATAAATATCGTGTTTAGTGAAACAGCATTTATATTATGCATACTATATATAGAGTAAGTATACTGTATAGTGTTTATAGTACTTTATACACTATTATTTATTRAAATACTGTGCATATTGTATTTTTATTGGTATATTGTGATACAAATAATATGAAATAAATAATGTACGTGATTTAAGAATAAATATAAATTATTTTTCCTGATTTATTGTTTATCGTTTTTTAAATCACTAGAAACCTAATATTCTTAAATTATTTATTTCACCATAAAAAAAAGAAAATTTAAAGTAAAACAAACAATAAAAAAGTGCGAAATGTGATATAAAAATTCATTAGTTATATCTTAAAAGGTTATATCAGATTGCTTTTTATAAMTTATTTGAATTCCATTCATACAAAATATAATTATTTTTAATTTTAGTTGAAAGTTGTATTCGAATTTTGTTTACAACCAAACCTACGTTTAGTAATATCATATACTGGACATTATTTTTTTTCTTCTGATAATGTGTTACAATATTGCGTTATTTTGTTACCATATTATATTATTATTATAACTTATAAGTGGCCTATGTTATAACAATATGTAAACGTACGAAGACGTTATACACTGATAATTCTCGAATGATTTAGGGGTGGCTATGTTTAAAACATAAGTAACTCTTCTTATTAATCCAGAGACACGTCCCCACGTCGCAATGTAYATAAGCTTATTATTACGATTTATGACATGGTTGTATGATACTTATAATAATTACATTATTATTCGATGAAATTAGAGGTACTGAAACTATCAATATTATATAATGTGAAATAGATCATAATTAGCTTATATAATTATAATCACGAACAGGATATTTAAAACAAATAGTTCAATTACACGAAATAACACGATCATAACGCGATCCCTATAAAGTATAACCTTAATGCACCGAAATCGACATTTGTTGACGTTTTCTCAATACCCATATTATAACGGGCTTCAAAATAAGTCTACTATTCAAGAGGCTATTGGGTGGCTTACCTTCCAAGCATGCATTTCTAAAAAATTGTATGTAGATACCTATTGTTAAAAACAAAATTACAAAAAAAAAAAAACATGTAATATAATATAGTATTCTGATAATTATGACTTAGCCCCTCATCTCTTCCCCGTACAATGTCTCTGGAGACACCCTGGTCGGTATWTAGACCTGCCTACCTAATTCATACTATACATATTACATTGTCGTTTTAAATAGCATGGCATAACTATAAAATCTATTTAGAAGAAATAGGTGGATTATTGACGACGATATAACGATACCATTATTAATAACAGCAGTTATACCTATAGCGATTATAATAATATAAAAATAATATTGAATACCTGTTTGTCATTTCGTTTTCAGTACCCCCGACAGACTTCGTCACTACTGTACGCGGCTCAAAGCAAACGGATCCGAACACAAGAGAAAATCATTACAGGTAAAGCATTTATATTATAATGACGTGTGCATATAGTATTATTTACATAATCTTACAACAACCGTGGTCGCTTGAGTGTATTCAAGAAGAATCCACGAAGGAGATGATAATGTTTATGTACAGACGATGATGATGATGATGATGACGATGATCATTGTCATCGTCATTATTTTAGGGTCATATGTTTATCATCGTAATAGGTTTACGACGACGGTTGATAATGTGTTTGTGTTTCTGTATATTATGTAGACTGTATGACCGTGTGGTCTGAAGAGGGTCACCTGTACTACAAATCACCGACCAACGATCCGACCGTGTGCGGTATTTACATAGTAGCGAAACCGGAGCAGACGGTCCACGTTTACTTCGATTACGTGGACGTACCCTGCAGTACAGGCGGTTTAATAGCGGTAAGTGTCTGCGCRCAAGACGCAAGTGCACACCATTARGTACGACGTGAATATTATAAAGATAATTACGTAGGCGCGCATGCGTATATAATATGTATTTATATATTAATATATCACACCAGACGGCGAATATGTTTATCCATGATCGTCTTGTATACAAAAACCCAACGCCAAACATAATAGTTATAGTAAATTGTACGATAGTCATTATTATACAATATATATATATATACACTACTAACTAATCCCGTGCACTTTGCTTCCTATAAAAAATGGCAACTCTTATATAAATTAGGATTGTTCAATTCCTTTTAGGAGTTACTCGCTGCTTTATGTGTTATTTACCTTGGTAAGCAACGTTTAAAAATTAGATTTAATGCATACTTGTACAGTTGTACCCAGTGGCGTAYGCAGGAATAAGGTTCTAACCCCCCCTTCGATATTTCTTCATTTTACAAAAAAAAAATCTTATTTACCACCATTTGAATACACAGAGCCAATCAATTGTTGGTAATTTTTAATAAAAATAAAATAAAATGTTAATTTATTATTAATTATAACTTGTTATAACTAAATATATAAAAGATGTTTAGTACAAAATAATGTGAATTATTTGCTCATGTAAGCCTTAACCGAATTAAAATTTTGCGTACGTTACTGGTTGTACCTATACCTGATCTGTCCGAATAACCAATGACAACCAATAATACTAATTTCTATTAATTATTTCTCCTATAACCAATAGCAATTATTTATAAAGAGAAATGTTCATCGAAAATTTCAAGATCCCCGTTTGAGCACATCCCCTGTAAGAGGGTGAAAAATAGTTTACATCACTCTGTCAAATCTACACAATATCACAATATCTCATGAAAATCAATTAAGCCGTTTAGGAGTTGTTTGGCGAYATAAATTTTCCATTGTGACACGAGATTTTTATACATTAAGATWAAGTTATTTATTATTTATATACATTCGTACTAGTTGATCCCGTGCACTTCGTCGACCATTAAAAATGCATTTTGTAAAAAAAAATTCTAATTTGATTTTACTGGACAGATGACGCAATCAGTTGATTCCTATTTTACCCCTCTCTCAATATTTCATGAGCAGAATTTAGGCCTATGCAACTATATGCTTTAAACCTTCTCCACGATGTTGACCGCGGGATTTCGTTTATGTTGCTGTATCTAGAGAGATGAAGATGGTAAAATTACTCTTTGGCCGATTTGGCTCGATTCACCGTCATCAAGAATCTTAATGTGTACAACGTTAGTAGGTATAATGAACAACTAGCATTATATATCAAAACCTCCGATAAATATTATAAGCAATTGGACATGACTTTCAATCCAATCAATTCCAGTTTGTTAGATTTAAATTATTTTACATTTCAAAATATTATTGCTGAATAATTCAAAAACATCAGTAGCGTATTTAGTGTTTTAAATATATATTATGCATTAGTGTTTAAATGCGTCATGTACCTAATATAAATTACAATGATAATTGAATTTACGTTTAAATTTATTTTGTGTACATTTTTTTTATAACTGTGGATTATTGTAAAGATAATTTTTTTGGTCACCATGTATAAATAATTTTCTGATAAAAATATTTGTGAATAAATCAATACGAAATAAYTCTACACAAATATTAGACACCTATATGTAATTTATTTTTCAAAAGTCGTTATTAATATATTTTTACAATCCAAAACTATAGTGTGATAATTATATTTAATTAGATGTTTTAATAACGTCATTATTAAGAACCTACGAGGCTTAATGTTTAATGTTAAATTAAGTAAATATTTATGTTTAGGGTATCCGATTCATTAGATAACATTACTAGTAAAACTATAATTTATGTAATGTACAAAATATACAATGGGGATTCAATCACTCGTATGTTATAAAATCTCTATATAGTATCAACATCTTAGACTTGAGAGTTCCAATCATCCAGAAACTATATGATGGAAAATCTCGAAAACTCTTTTACAATATGCAATTATTTTTATAATAGGTACATTAACGTGTTTAATAAAACATAAAAATGTAAGATTTAATATTTAAATAACTTTAAATAATAAATAGGTAACACTCGAAGACGGATGACACTCATATAGGTAGTTTTTATAACTCATAACATGTTTATTATAATATAATAATACTACAATCATCATATCCCCTGTGAAATATTAGTCTATCGAAGACTATTATTCTTATTATAKGTAGTCATAGTAAGACACTGATAGTCCAACACCCATCAGTCAAAAATCTCAGTAATCGGACACTTTTTTCACTTCATCTTTATCATATACGAGAAATGATAAATTTGTGAATTTGAGTTAAAAACATGCCCAGTATATTATAGTTTAGAAATAAAAGTAACTTAAAAGTTGAAAATTTAAAACTTTACACTGATAAATAATTATAAAATAAATTTGCGATACTATATTATATATGTAAATATTCTTGTATTAATAATATGTTGTTTTTTTATTTGTCAAACGCTCAATAATTCGATAAACTATCTCATTCCGATAACCCGGGGTTCAATGCGTGATGTATAATTCAAACTGTGAAAGTTCGTACAGTAGGTACTTAAATTTTAATACCTAACTCAAAAGCCACTCAATCAAATCATGTTTTATTATATTCATAAAAATCGTCAGATTGTAAATTGATTGTAAAAACCAAGGTTCTTATTTAAAAATATAAATTTGATTAATGAATCAAAAGTAAAAAATAAGCGTTTGAAATTTAAATTCTTACAACATAAGATTTTCACTAGCTTGAAAATTTAATACAAGACCTTTAACATGTTATTACAATAGCAATTAAAAAATTAAATAAATTCATAGTCACAATTTTTTTTATAAGCATTCAAAGTTTGAATTTTGGCAAAATACGTAAAATTACAAAAATTCGCAAATTATTTTAAGCTAGAAATTCATAAAYATTTTTCTTTTTGAATCTAAAATATGAAAATTTAATACAAGATTCCTTACAAGTTTTTCAATCTTTATCACAAAAAAAAAATGTCCATCGGAAATTCAAATTAAATTTTAATGAGCGTTTGAAATTTAAATTCTTACAACAGTGAATTTTCACTAGATTTCTCATTTAGCGATTTTCTTATTTTGGTGTAACTCTAAAACCAATGACCGCAGATACTTGAAATTTATACTGAATGTTTATATTTTGAAACGGACACCTCTCAATAGCGGACACCTCCAAATAACGGACGGAATTTTTGGAACGGTGAAATGTGTACTCACTGTATTTCCCCTCTTAATAGCGGACACCTCCAAATAGCGGACGAAGTTTAAGCGACCGAGAGTGTCAGGTATTTAGAGGTTTAACTGTATAGGCATTTTCTATTGTGCAGCAGARTGACATTCACGACTTACCTGCTTTTTTTTTTCTATAAAAGGGTCAAATAATTAGGACTTGAACTTTTTCGATTACTTATTCATCTACTTAAATAATAAAAAATACAATTGAAGTTTTTTTAAATATAAATTCGTTTAAATAATATATTAATATATGTGAATAGTATAAACTATTATAGAGACGCACTATACATGAATATATGTTATTATTTATTAATATTATATATAAATATGGCTACAGTGATTATTTATTTATAATAAAAAATMATGGCCATTTCAACTCTCATAAGCGTATTGTACACAAGAACGAATACCAATTCTACTTAACATTTTGTCTATTGACATGTTATATTTCCTAAAAAATAGTTTTTAGATACTATAAGGTGACCACCTTGACAAAGACTCACATGGTAAACTCACATAAAACAACAATAAAGTGCAGCTAAAATATCAAACAATTTTATCCTTAAGTACTCCATCTAATCAGTATACCGTTATTATATCTACATGCTTCTAAATCATATGTCTCACTTAGATCTGAAAAATYCAAAAAGTCCTTGAGTAGCGTCATACTATATATTACAAACAAGTTTATAATAACATTTAATTTTAATAGTTCTAACTATTTGTCCATCACTCTCACCGTTAATCCATCTTGTTTACTTGAAAATAAATGGCATGGTGATCGTTTTAGTTAATATATCCATCATTCCTGAATAACCCGTAAAATTCATCTTGGTACAACCTAGGTAAATCTTACAATTAAAAAAAAAAAAAATCATTCTGAAACCTATTTGATTTTCTTGTTTGTAATGCCTAGTATCGAAAGGTCATATAAATGAATAGATTCTAAAAAAAAATATTTTTGATTGTATTTAACGAACAATTTTTTATTAAAATGTCAAAAACAAAACACCTCCACATAACATAACTATCATTATAATTTATATTTTAATATTATTGTATCAAAGAGCAAAACGGGAATCTCACATAGGTATATTAATTTAAATTTTGATCTTGAGCGGGAACGGGAGCGAGAATGCCATTACAGTAATTGTTTTACTTTCCGAAAAACCTTTTTGATCATTAAATGGCCTATAAACAWTTCATGTATCACTTTTATTTAATTTTAATTGGACTCACAAACGTAATACAAACACTTAGAATGTTGAAAATAGTACATTTATAATTTTTTTTTTATTTTGTACAAACCATCTAAGCCATTTCAACTCAAATTAACTGTCGAAATAATATAGACTTAAATATATTATATAATAATTTATGATTGATGTACAAAAGCGATTGTTCACTCTGYCCATGATCCAATASTGACTGTGTATATTCAAAAATATCAGGTTTATAATGGTTTATTTTTGTTTAACATAAGTTATTTGTGTTTCTATATACCTACGATTTCATTCAATTATTTAGTTACCTACTTCTTTACGTAATATGTATATTAGCCATTAGGTACGTACAATATATTACGATTAAATTGTATATTAAACGTATTGTGGTAAATAAAATTACGATAAAACAATAGAAATCGAACTCTTATCAGAAATTCATTTTTTATTTATCTTATTAGCCTGATATATCTCTAGACCTAACCTTGTTTGGTTATAAATAAAATATAATATACAATTTGATATTAATATTTAAAAAATGCGCTGATCGCTTTTAAGTCAAGCTAGATTGTTATTTAAAAATACTGAATATGTTGTATTCCGAACAAATCCCAWATAATTTATGCCAATTTATCTATCAATTATTATTTTATTGTGTTTAACAAATAGGTAAATTGTTTGTAATTATTATCTTTTGTATTACATCGGGGTACTTATTGTAAATCACAGACAGATAATATCATCGCCATATAATTATTACAGTTAATATTTAGTAGGTTTATTTTATTAATATATGATTTGCATACCCCTTAGTATACAGTTTTAATAATRSATAGATATTGTTATACTGAAACAATAACTTTGTTAAAAATCGTTTCAATATATTTGGATTTGATGTATAGTAGTAGCCATATTTTAATATATTATAATATAAACTAGGCTATATTTAGTACCCTGGAGAGATTTGCAAGCTTAAATTGGATTTAAATATCATATACATCTATCACACTATCACATACACCCTGTATATAAAAAGCGTTCGTGATTGAATGAGTATCTTTGTTGTTTTTTTTTTCTKTAACTATTTTAAATTCAATACATTTTTATATAAAACTATTATTATTAAAATGTTTACAAACGTCATTGACTGTTGTAAAATCTTAAAACCTACCATTTATTTTTGCATCCCCGTAGTCTATAACAGGAATGGCAAAMCTTTTGAACACTGCGTGCCCAAMATTACATTTTCTTTTTTTTTTTAGAGCGTGCCATGAAAAGAATTTAAAAAATATTAAATATTAAAAGTATTCATGTTTTGTTATATTATAWTTTGATTGTATAATTAATGTWTTAGTATAAAAAGGTTAGTTTAGGTACATAATAATAATAATTATAATAATATTGCTTTGTTAATTATTTATTTTGATGGGATTTATGTTGTCGAACACTTGATGCCAATTCGTTGATATTTATAGTTTATAATTAGTAACTTTTAATAAAGTACAYGTGGCACTGTATTCATCAGTTAGTCGGTTTCTTAAATCAGATTTTACAAAATTAATTTCTGAAAATAGTGACTCGCATGAATAAGTCGAAAAAAAATAGACAAAACAGCATGTGCTACTATTTTTAAAGTGGAATAATCTTTTGGAATTTCATTCCACACTTTCAAAATCTTGTCCCCTATGTTTACGATCAATTTACCTATCGCCCTATCTCACGTTGAATTTCTTCTAATTCATTTCTCAGTATAATAAGTTACAGTATTATACACCTACTATATATTATCTTACTTGTGAATAGTTTGTGGATGGATGGGAACTCAACGGGCAACTGTTTCCCAACGAACAAGATCATCCAAAACAGATGAACGATCGTTTCTTCGAGATGTGCGGGACAAAAAAACACAAACAGATATTGAAATCATCACAGAATGCTGCATTGATACAATATCGAGTTCCACGTAGGGGCAACGGATTCAGCTTTTATGTATCGTTCATCGACAATCCTACTCGTACGTATAGCAATATAATAATACAAAATAATAAAACTTTTAAATATTATGTAGGGTAATTTTGTATTTTTCATAAACCCAGTGATTATACTGAAAATTGTATAAGTATTTATAAAATGTCTGAAGGATTTTTTTTTCAAGGGTAAAATTAATAATTGAATTATGAAAAAATATAGATTGTGAAATGTTTTTTATGACGTGAGGATTTTATTTTAAACCTTTGAGCCCTCTTGTAAGCCAAAACAGTTGACTAGTGGTTGCAGGATGTGATAATGTCTTTGTACCATCACACAAATCACCATTTTTAATATTTATATATTAACGGTTTTTAAATTTCAAGAAAATGTATAACACAATTGTTTAATGAGTAATATCTGTTATCATAATCATTTAATTACAATAAACTTCACAAATTGATAATAAGATGAAAAGATTTTGTTTTCATCTTATACAGGTAAATGTAAATTTTTAGTAATTTATAATAAAAATGAATTATAATTACCATAATAACTTAATACAATTTATCTGTAAGTAAACTGGATCAAATATATACGTATTATAAGCTATTATATAAAATATTGATAAATTATACACTATAATTAATAATATGAGTTTATCGTAACTACAAACAAAAATCGTACAGCACAATATGAAATTATAATATGATATAATAGAGCAATACAGAAAATTGACATAAGTTATTGTTTTAAGTACAATAATATTTAAAATAAATATGAAGTGATTTTAAAATTATTGACATAGTATAATATAAATATTTGTATAGATAATTAAAAAAATCAATATTCTACACAAAGAATGAGATCTAACCCTTATAATCCCCATTTGTATAGTAATTGTGTTAATATTTTAATGAAAAAAAATAAATAAATTAATTAATACTTTATTAGATTATCCTACTTTTTCTTATTAAAAAAGTATTTTATTATAATTTTAAGTTAATACCTTTAAAGGTTTATTTTATAGACTTATAGTATACTACACATTTTAAATGTTTTTATTTATTTATCAATAAGTGAATACAAGAGAAAATATTTAAATATGCGTAGTTGCTAGTTACAATATTATATGAATTCAAAAGGTAAAATTTTAAAAACTATAAAGATAGTTATTTTTTTCATTTATTGAAGTAAATCTACAATGTATACATATTCTTTGTGAAAATGAGTAGTTTGATAGTTGACAAATAAAAGTAAATAACATGAATTGTGTGATTAGGGAGGATATCCAGTGGTACACCCTATATACCTATATATAGTGACAGTAATAACAATCATAATTTTGAAATTTTGAAAGATTTTACCTGATAGCAATGTCTTGCACTTATTCCGCTTGCTTATTGAAGAATAAGATCTCTACACCATTGCCTTTTAAGTCTACGGCGCGCGGCGTGGGTTACCAAGGAGTGTGTTCGTTGATAATTTAGAGATAAGTGGATTTGTGTGTTGTTGAAGTTTATTGTGGAATCTGGTATAATACAATTTAAAGAAAATTATTATTAAAAAATTTTTTTCCAACATGTTTGTTGTTCGTAATTTAATATAGTTATTCGTATAGCAGTTGATGAATTTATATAATATAAAAAAATATTTTCAAAAAACGTTAATTATTTTTGAGTTAATGAGTTTTTGATGTTAAATTAATCATCCAAACATATGATCTAGAAGGGTTAATGGTTATCTCAAATTAAAAGTGTGTATTGATCATAATGAGAAACATATTTAAGGGCGATCACCCCAAGCTGCATTTTTGCAGGACGGTCAGTTTTGTTTTTGCATATTATGCAATCTCCTATGTTATCTAAGCTTATTTTCAATTAATCGAAAAAAGTTTTCATTAATTTCCGTTACATAGAACTTATTTATTTATTTACATTTAATTATTTCAATACGCTTTTATGAAATATTAAGTATGGACTATAGTTCATTTATTGTTTAACAGATTTGTTAAATATATTATCGTAAGCAAGACTGATATACTATACTATACTCTGTACTCTACGTAGATAGGTTCACTGTCTCTGATGATGTTTCTAATACAACAACACATTATAATATTATGATATAGGATTTCAGAGACCCCAAAACACAACCCCGGCAATACGGTACAAACCTCGTGCGCAGTTCAAATCGTTATTGTCCGCTGTTTAAAATATACAATCTGATATTATATATATATATATTTATGTATGTATATACGCGTATCTAACCCATTTGAATTACCTATATATTATGTGCATATACGTAGGGGCACGTATACATTACGCCGTTATCAAATTATATTCCATTTGTAAAATTTGGTTAAGCTCCACTACCCTGTCGAATTACGGTCAGCATAATTTAATGACAATACACGAACGTGCGTCGTTTGCCCACGATTACGATACGGTTATAATTCTCACGCCGGCTGAATACGAATAAGTACAATTATATTATTGGTGCGTTTACCGCAGCAGTGTAGACGGAATAGCAGTCACATTTATCGATAATTTCTGTTCGACACACGAGTTTTATATTCTTTGAATCGAACATAATAATAATATACACAAATGCATAAATAAAACTAAATAAAATTAACGTCGTCTGTTGCAAAAGCAAATAGTAATTCCGATCGTGATAATTAAAACAAAATACTCAAATCGCCCACAACCAATTGGAGTTCAATTTTTCTTACGGTATAAGTGAGAAATAGATATCTTTAAGATTGTGTGCTGTGAGCATGGATGTGAAGAGCAACTGTGTTGATTTTTAATTCAATCTCCCATATGTRTCCACAATTTATTAGGATAATAATATTACTTATATAATGCATAATTTGTCTTACATAATATTATTATAAAGAAATACTCTATTTTCGATTGTGACAATTATACTAGTATACATTTTTTTTTATGTATTCAAAATTACCTTCAGCTGTGCAGATTATTTCTAAATTTTAAAATTAAATTGTTTAGTTTGGTTTTTTTTTTGATAATTGTAATAACTTAAGTTGCATTCAAGCGTGAAGTCCTAGCGCTACAAGGTGTTGAGTATATTGCTTTCTTCGATCTCTTCTCTGTAAGTTTCACATAATACAGGCGTGGATCCAAGGGGGTGAAGGAGAGCAAGGGGACATGACCCCCCCCCTCCCGGTAGGATGGTGGATTTTCTATTATATATATTACGTATCATTATTAATTAAACCATTTATATTACTTATCAAATTATTTTATATTATACTGTATTGTACTAA